CAGGGGCTCGATTCTTGAATCATTCGCAAACTTGCGTATACGACCGATTCGAGCGATCGAAGATGCGAATACGTTCGTTAACTGCTATTCTCGAACAAAAGATTCGTGTATTCGAAACTGAGATAGGAATCGTGCGTATACGCTTTCTTACGAACATGAATTAGATTTGGCAACAGTGTAAATACTAACCTAACTGATATTTTGTACATGTAACCTCTTTGCTCTGCTCATTATTCTACATGTGTCAAATATCTCACAACCATGGATAAAACTGTGGATAAAAAGAAAAGAAGCGGTAATATATCTGAAGAGCAAAGATGTTTGCTCATTGAATTTATGAAAGCTCATCCAGAGTTAGTATCTGGAAAGTTTTCTAAAACTTTTACGTACGATCATGCCGCAAAGTTATGGCAAGACGTGACCGAAATTTTGAACGCTTGTAATGGTGCTAAGAAAAGTTGGAAATTATGGCGCAAGGTAATTATAATAATTATCTATTAATTTTTCAAAATTATATTTACGGGACATTGATTATTAAATAATCCCGGATATTAATTTATGACACAAAATACTTTATTTTTAGTGTTGGCAAGATTATCGCTCTCGCAGTAAAACGAAGCAAGCAGGAATAAATATGGAACGGCGTAAAACTGGAGGTGGAGCACAGTGTAGCGCAGTTCTTACACCAGATGAAGAACAAGTATTAGAATTAATTCCATCGTCATTAACAAGGGGCCATGCAGATGTTTTGGAGTCATGTATGGATACAACTTTGGACGAAGAGGTTTGTAATCAAAATAAATATACGTTTAGTTTAATTAATTATTAATAATTACGTATAATTATAAATTGCTGTTTATATTTATAGGATGATTTGAATGACTTGCCATTAGCGGAAACAGAAGACGTAGAATTCCTTGATAATGATTGTGATGCCAGTCAAATTTCATTAACTGCTTCTGCTACACAGACAACCATCGAAACATCAAATGTTAATAACAACGATGAGGATATCGAAAATTATGATCCATCTACGAGTACAAAGTCGAAACGATCATCCTCAAGGCAAAAGGTTAACGAAATAAAAGATTCTACGCGTACTATAGCCGAAATTGCAGAAAAGACATATTTTTTAAAGAAGAAATTCTGCGAAGAGGTTATACAATATAAGAAAAAAACGGCCGAAGCTCAAGAACGAATAGCAACTGCTGCAGAGAAATGTGCAACAGAGAACTGCAAAATAATGTGATTATTTTTATAATTTAATAATTTTTACTTTTTGTTTTTTGAACATTATTTAGCTTCAAGAGTATTATTTCTAAAGAAATGTTTTTTGTTAAATTTTAAGTTTATAACATTATACCTGTAATGTGATACATGATGACTGATTACTTTTATGTTTATTCACGCAAGTAATTTTAATTTACAAAATAAATAATTACTAGTCGATATTTTTATTTGTAAGTAACGTTTTATTGTGATACTCATATGTATATAAGTGTTATTACCAAAGATACCAAATAAAAGTATTATTATCAAAGAAAACTTACCAAATTATTAATATTAATTAATATTAAAATAATAAATAAACAATGTTACGAAAGAAATACTTTATATT